GATGACGAAAAGGAAAAGGGTTTTGGGGGGGGGGGGAGTTCGATCGCGCCGGAATCGAGGCGCGTAGAGCAATGACGAGACCGTCACCGTGGTATGTAGTCGGTACGAGAGGGGAAGGGGACCGATGTCGTTGAACCGTACATGTCAAGAACTGGCTGGCTGAATCCTGCAACGAGGATTCGTGTGATTCGAAGTCGATATAATCGCCTTCGGAATGTTTCTGGAATGAGCTGGATGAAGCCTGCTCGAAGGTGTGCTTGGTAATCGTGTGAGTAAATCTTTGGGGGGGGGATGCAATATGCTGGGGGGATCGATGTTGTCGAGAAACTCGGCGCAGTCAGGAAGTTGAGGCCGAAGGGAGGGAGACGGGATATTTAAGAGTTTTGCCCTAAGTGCTAGGGGGGCCACGGTGGGAAATTTTTCGATTTTCGGGTAGAGTGTGGGTGCGTTGGCTTTTAGTGCCGGGGGGGGGTTGGTTTAGCGCGGTAAGTATGAGTCTTGCTTTTTGGGCTGGGACGGATCCTGGTCGGTAGTAGTAGTAGGGGCCGTCGTAGTAGTAGTTGTAGTAGTTGTAGTAGTAGTTGTAGTAGTTGTACTAGTTGTGCTAGTTTTACTAGTTTTACTAGTTGTAGTACGGGGCCGTTAAAAAAGTAAGTGGAAAGAAGGAAGAAGCTGGGATCGGGCGGTCAGCCACATTGTTACATATAATTATAATCTGACGCCCAGGGTCGCTGGAATGTGCGAGCGGCCACATCATTGGCCCACGGGGAGACGGGCAGAGAGCGGTGGGAGAGGACACACAGTGTTGGGTTGAGTTGGGTTGGGTTGAGGGGGGCAGTGAAGTGCATGAGCTGTGGCAGTGAAAATACCCCACCGGGAGCTGTGGCAAAGAAGACGGCTGACTCACCCAATGCTTCTGTAGGCACGGAGTAGGTACCACCTACCTACCGGTACCTACTACGTAAGGTACGTAGTAGATACTGTCAGTCACTCAGCCTCACGGCCAAACCCCCGGAACCTCTCAGCTCAGACCAGAGTCAGTGCGACGGCGCCGGCCATGATTTAGAACTGTCTCATAAGCGAAATTGCTGTCTCTACGGAGGAGGGTTTCTCTTCCTTCTTCCTTCTTGTTTCCGGAAATTCAACTTCAACCGTCAACAGCGCACCGTACCGCACGAGGCCGGGGCGTGGAATGCCGCCAGCCGCGTCGCTCGAGGCCAAGTAGAGGATAGGAGGGATCTGAATGAGCACTGAGCAGCCCGAGATTTCGGTTCGGGGGGAGCTGGGAGGGTGGAGCCGGAACGGGGGTCGAAAGAGATTGTGGTGGAACGGCTCCCGACGATCACCGGAGATGCGATTGTTATCTGACACCTTTCCCCTGGACCGCGTGCGCGGCGGGCCGAGTCCGGATTCCTTTTGGTTTGGTGTGCTTTGCTTTGGTTTCGCTCCGTCTGGGCTGATCTGCTCCGATAACAGGGACTTACGGAGCTTCCGTGCCCAGGAGTTCCACGAACGATCGCGACTTTGATGCGCAGCCTCCCAGGGACGCCAGAAGGAGGATGATTTGGGAGCGAGGAGAATCTCACGCACGATATGGGAACTCGAGTGGGTGGTCAAGTAGCACGGGAGGTCTCCGCGGCTCCTCGGTCTCCTCGGTCTCCTCGGTCGATAAAGTGCAGGCCACGAGGGCGTGACGTTCAGCGTGGCGAACTACTCTCTTGGAAGTGGATCGCGGACGAATGGATTTGCGATCGCAACGCTTTGGCCGCCAGGGAGCCACAAAAGAGGGTTGCAATAGATTGCACTGAGCCACACCCCGAGGGCCGAAAGGGCCAAAAGGGCCAAATAGTGGCAAAATCGTCGCAACGGGATGGATAGGTACCTATTGCACCGAGGAAGCAGCAGCGGAAGTTGACTCTGTGCGCAGCGACGGGATCCTGGCGCCAACGGGCTATTTGTCGGATTTTGATGGGTAAGCCAGACAGACGGTCGATTCTTCGTATGACACAGCCAGCGCCGAGGGGTCGGTGTTGGGGCTTCCTACTACTACGTAGTACGTAGTACTTTCCCGCGGGTAAAGTTTGCCACAAGATACGGACGGGTGCCGAAGTTCCTGTTGAGGCAAGAAGCCGCTCCGATGCAGCAGTTTGACGCAGGAGGTTATTCCCAGGCAGGCTGTACACCCGCTGTACACTTACTTACTTACTTACTTACTCACTCACTCACTGTACACTTGCGTACAGCGAAGTCGGGCAGGTGGTGGTAGGTACCTCGGTACCAGAGAGCGAGTAACTGTACCGCGTGCAGGTCGCAAATTGAGAGATGGGCCCAACACAGCAGAAGCCGAGGGAGCAGAAAGACGCAGGCGCAGGTGCAGGTGCAGTGCAGGTGATGCGGGTGGTGCAGCAGGAGAGCGACTTTATATTTGGAACTCCCGGTGGTAGTCAGTGGTAGTCAATGTGGGGAATGTGAGAGGTGGGAGGTGGGATGTGGGATGTGGGATGTGGGATGGATATACTACGTAGGTAGTACTACGTACGTTCGTTGTATGCGCCGGGTAGAGGTTGAGGGGTACCGGCAATCACCAGTTGAAGATGGTTGGCCCACTACCGACGGATGATAGGACGAGGAGGTGCTGGTGTTACCAGTTCGGAGGGGTACGGGGACCAGACCAGGCCCGAACCTTCATGATCAATCGCATGACCGGAAGTGTGACGGAAGTGTGACGGAAATGTGACGGGACTGCTGACGGAACTGCTGACTCTAGGAATGGGACAAAGGCAAGGGCAAGTGAGCGCTTATCTCGCCTCTTTTGGCTGCATTCAGAAGGCAGGCAAGCCAGTGCAGCTTCTTCACGAACCGAAGGTGAGCCTGGTCAACAACTCATCTCAGTGCAGGATATTGTAGTTCGTTCAGGAGTAGAGAGCCTATACGCGCAATCCAATTCGAGATGGATCCGCCCAATATCCAGCCAGGCTGTTCCGACCAACACCCGGGATCGATCTCTGATAGTCAGTCACTCAGTCAATCAGTCAATCAGCCAGTCATGCCATCACCAAGCTACGTCGGAATTGACTACACAAGGTTACGGTATCCAGTCGGCAAAAGACTTATCGCATTTGAGGATCGTCGGTCTACAAGCTTTGGTGCAACTGGAATCATCCTCGCCTCGCCTTTCGCTTTCGGTTATCTCACGGCTCGCTTGTTCGTTCAACAACTCTATCCTGCAAATCGAACTTGGGGGGGGGGAATCGATTGCCCACATCGATTGTCCATTCGCTTTCCTTTCCCTTCCCTCCCCACAAGCCGTAGCAAGCCACTCCGCTCCGACGGTTACCATTGGACTACCGTCTACTATCACCACGTCGTCCTCCTCGTCGGTCACAGTCACAGCAGCGCCGCGATGCATCACTCAGGGGCTGGGCGGGATCGATCCCGAGGCCCGCGACCTGCCTGGTGCTCAGCTCACCAGGCCAATTTACTGGTATTTTTTATTTACGTAGTATTTTGCATTTACAGTACGTCCCGTAGTACCCTCTCTCCGGCTACTGCACCCGCTGCGGTGGTTTGAGACGATCATACTGTAGTACGTAGTACAGTATATCCATCATGGTTCGAGCGCAAAGCAAAGGAAGGGAACCCCTATGCAGAAGAAAAGAGCAAAAAGCCTTGTTGCCTTGTGTCATGCAAAGAATCATCCCTGTCGGCGGAACTAGTCCCTCCTTAGTCCGTAGGACTGTAGTACTAGTAGTCCTTAGCACGCAAACCTTATGAGTAGGGACTAGCACTACCTACGTAGTAGTAGTACGTCCTAGTACAACGAACTTCTTCTCTTCTTCTCTTCTTCTCTTCTTCTCTTCTTCTCTTCTTCCGTACTGACCACTTACCACTTACCACTTACCACTTACCCCTTTCCCCTTCCGAACCTCGCTCTCCCCGCCCAGGAGCGAAGCTTTCCAGACGCTGCTGCACTGGCAACTCTCCCTCGGTCAAATACGTACGTAGTACGTCGTAATTCTCGTCCTGTAATGCAAGCAAGCAAGCAAGCAAGTACTGCCCGTACGCAAAACCCGCCGCACCGTACCCCCAAACACGGACGGCTCAGCCATCATCCGCCGCATCAGCCCATCCCCCAATTAAAAAAAAAAACATCGAAAATTAAAACTTGAAAAATTTTAAAAATTAAACGTTCCCCGGCACCCTTCCCTCGAGCGGTCCATCCCTGCCCTGGGTACCGTACCCTGGTGCTTGTGTCTCGGTCCCGCTCGTTCGTTCGTTCGTTCGCTCGCTCGGTCCCAGCCGCTCGCTCGCTCGCTCGTCTGAAAGAGGAAGAAAGAAACAAGGTAGTCAAGTAGCAAGGAAGAAGAAGGAGGACAAGGAAGAAGAAACAAGGAAGACAAGGAGGAAGAAGAAGAAGAAGAAGAAACAAGGAAGAAAAAACAAGGAAGACAAGGAGGAAGAAGAAGAAGAAGAAGAAGAAGAAGGACAAGGAAGAAAGAAGAAGAAAAGAAGAAAAGAAGAAGTTTAAAATTGAAAAAGAGAGTTAAATAAGAGATTTAATCAATGTAAATATACGTAGTAGTAGTAAATCAACGTAAACTGTGCGACGAGCGGCTCTTTTTCTCTTTCTTGCTCAGGCCTGTGTCTCTCTGCCTCTCTCTCTGCCTCTTTCTTGTTGGGTGTTGGGTGTTGGGTTACGGGGTAGGTGGGGTTGGGGCTGGGAGGGAGGGACGGGGGGTTTTTTATTTTATTTTCATTTTATTTTCATTTTCATTTTATTTTATTTTCATTTTATTTTCATTTTCATTTTATTTTTGTGAGAAAAAAAAATTGAGGTGGGGAGGGAGGGGAGGGGAGATGGATATACTCCGTACGGTAGTAGTACGGTACTGGCTGGTAGTACCCACGGTACAGGCGTCAGTATTAGTAAGTACTACTAAGTATTAGCCCTCGAGGGTAGGGTACCCAGGGGCTTTATACTTGGTGGGAACCAAACTTTCGAGGCACCCTCAGGGGGTAATACTTACGCCTGGGACGTACGTAGTAGTTGTAGTAGTAGGTACGAAACGAGGCTAGGTGATCTCTCGATGGATTCCTGGGTTCGGGCAAGATTGTGGTTGTGGTGGTTCGGATCATTTGCAGTCGGTTGGGAAGTCGGTCGGGTATATTAGTTGAGGAATTTCTCTCTTGTTTTTTTTTACTTGTTTTCCTTTTCGTCCTTTTTTTACTTTTTTTACTGTTTTTACTTTTCGTCCTTTTCGTCCTTTTCGTCCTTTTCTTCCTTTTCGTCCTCTTCGTCCTTTTCGTCCTCTTCCTCTTCTTCCTCTTCTAGGCATGCAGCTTGAATCAAGACCGCAGCAGACAAACCCAGCCTGACAAACCAGCTGAAAAGCGCGCCGCCGTCATCTATCGCTAGCGGCTCCACGCTTAGCTAGCTATCTCATAAAGCCAATTGATTATATATATTCCCCGCGAGAAAACAGCCAAAGTCGACCGCCCGACCGACCGACCGACTAACGCACCCAGCGAGCAAGCAAGCAAGTTCAGCGTCTCTCAAGCTCAAGAGCCATCTGTCAATCAATCATCCCAAGACATACATACCTTACATACATACCATCATCACTCGTGCCTCGGCAGCCAGCCAGCCAGCCTTGTCAAGCGGCGGAGAAACAGCAACACAGCAGATGTGAAGCAAGATCCAGCCATGTCCATTTCCACATGCGTATGTAAGGTATGTACATGTGTATGTACATGTGTGTGTTTTACCGCGCAACAATTTCTACGACAGGCTAGCGTGCCGTTCCTGCTCTGCTCCCAACGGCACATTTCTCACCCGTCGTTTTCGTCATCATCATCATCATTATCGTCATTATCATCGTTATCGATCTCTGCTTGCTAGCTAGCTAGCTAGCTCGTACGGCTCCGAACACCCATCGCGAGCGCGATCTTCTGTATAAAAAAATATAAAAAAATATATAAAAATTAAAATAGAAATAAACACACACACACACACACATACACACACACGCATCCCAGCTATCCATCTCCCTTTGTCATCCATTGTATCGTATCGTATCTATCCTCAGCGCTAACTGACGCATGCTTCCTGTACTCTTAAGATGTCCTACGAGCATATAAGCAAAATATATAGAAATGACGGAGTCACCTTCACCTTGTGGATGGCTACTGGATATACACATCTACACATAAGACATTCGGATCGATCACGTTGCAGTCTCTGGGTCTGATGAGGTCCCTTCTTCTCCTTCTTCTTCTTCTTCTTCTTCTTCTTTTTTCTTTTTCTTTCCTTTCCTTTCTTCTTCTTCTTCTTCTTCTTCTTCTTCTTCTTCTTCTT